GAAACTAAGAAAATAATACAAAAAAATCAAGAAATCCTAACCACTGGATCTTTGAAAAGATAAACAAGATTGACAGACCCCTAATCCAGTTAACCAAAAGAAAGAAAGAGCACCTCAAAATCAACAAAATCAGAGATGAAAGGGGAAACATCACAAAAGACACCAAATATATCCAGAGCATTATAAGGGAATACTTTAAAAATGTATATGTTATTAAATTTGAAAAACACGGGTATCTAAAAGTATGGGAACCAGCCAAAACTAAACCAAGAAAAGATCAACAGCTTAAACAGACCCATACCACATAAGGAAATTGAAACAGCAATACAAAACCTCCTGACTAAAAAAAGCACAAGACCAGATGAATGTCTATTAGACATTCAAAGAAGATCTACATCCAATACCACTTAATTTATATTTATTCAAAAAGATAGAAATGGAGGGAGAACTTCCAAATTTCTTCGATGAATCCAGCATCACTCTAATACCAAAATGAGGTAAAGTTAAAACCAAAAAAGAAAACTATAGACTCATATCCTTAATGAACATAGATGCAAAATGCTCAACAAAATACTTGCAACCCACATACAGACACACATGAAAAAGGTCATCCACTATGATCAAGTCAGCTTTATTCCAGAGATGCAGGGATGGTTCAATATATGTAAGTCAATGAATGTCATAAGTCATATAAATGGACTCAAAGACAAGAACCATCCATCTCAATAGATGCAGAGAAGGCCTTTGACAAAATCCAACACGCATTTATGTTCAAAGTCCTAGAGGGAATTGGACTGGATGGAGCATACCTCAACAAAATTAAAGCCATATATAACAAACTAACAACCAACATCATTCTAAATGGAGAAAAACTGGAAGCATTCCCATTAAAATCAGGAAGCAGACAAGGCTGCCCACTATCTCCACTCCTTTTTAATATAGTGCTTGAAACTTTTGCAAGAGCAATAAGAAAAGAAAAGGAAATTAAACGAGTAGTAATTCAAAAAGAGATATGAAATTATCCCTTTTTGCAGATGATATGATATTATATCTAAGAGATGCAAAAAATTCACCAGAAAACTCCTAGAAATGATTAACACTTAACAGGAATGTGGCAGGTTACAAATTTAATCTACAAAAGTCTACAGTCTTTCTACATACAAATAACAAGCAATCAGAGAAATAATAATTGCAAACACACCCTTTCACAATAACCTCAAAAATAAATTAATTAATGCATACATAAATAACTCAGAATAAACCTGACCAAAGACATTAAAGAAGTCTACAATGAGAATGTTTAATCTTTAAAGAAAGAGACTGAGGAAGACATCAGAAGATTAAAGGACCTCCTATGCTCATAGATTGGAAGAATTAATATTGTGAAAATGATCATCCTACCAAAAACCATTTTTATATTCAATGCAATGCTATATCAAAATCCTAAGGTTCATATGGAAGCACAAAAGGCCATGGATAGCCAAAGCAACCCTGAGGACTAAGAGCAATGCTGGGGGGATTACTAGACCAAATTTTAAACTGTATGACAGAGTTATGGTCATAAAAACATGGTCCTGGCACAAAAATAGACCCATAGGTCAATGGAACAAAATTGAAGACCCTAATATGAGTACATGCAATTTCAGCCACCTGGTATTTGACAGAGGGGCCAAGAACTTTCACTGGAGGACAGACAGCATGTTCAGCAAATGGTGCTGGCAAACTGGATCTCCACCTGTACAAGAATGAAACTAAACCCTTATCTTTCACCTTGCGCAAAAGCCAAATACAAATGAATCAAAGACCTCAATGTGAAATCTGAACCTCTGAAACTGTTAGAAGAAGAAAATATTGGCAATAACCTACAAGATATAGGTGTAGGAAAGGATTTTCTAACCTGGACATTAATTGCTCAGGAAAGAAGGTCAAGAATCAACAAATGGGACCTCATTAAACTAAAAACCTTCTGTACACCAAAAGAAGCAACCAAGGAAGGGAAGAGAAAACCCACAGAGTGTGAGAAAATCTTCACCAGCGACAATCTGACAGAGGTTTGACATCCAGAATATATAACAAACTCAAAAAACAAAGAATCAAGGAAGGAACTAACCCAATTAAAAGATGGATGAAGGAGCTGAACAGAGAGTTCTCAACAGAAGAAATAAAGATGGCTAAGAAGCATCTTAAAAGGTGTTCAACATAATTAGTAATTAGGGAAATGCAAATTAAAACCACCTTAAGATTTCATCTTACCCCAGTCAGACTGGCTAAGATCAAGAGAACAAATGATACCAAATGTTGGAGAAGATGTGGGGAAAGAGGAATGCTCATCCATTGCCAGTGGGACTGCAAACTTTTTCAACCCCTATGGAAGGCAGTGTGGAAAACTCTTTAAAAAACTAAAAATGAACCTACCATTTGTCCCAGTTATATAATTCCTTGGCATATACCCAAGGAACTCATCCTATTACAGAGACTCTTGTACATCCATGTTGCTGCGCTTTTCACAATAGCTAAGAGATGGAAGCAACCTAAGTGCCCCTCAACTGACAAGTGGTTAATGAAAATGTGGTGCATTTACACAATGAAGTTCTGTTCATCAGTAAAGAAAGATGAAAAAATGAAATACGAAGGTAAATGGATGGATCTAGAAACTGTGATACTAAGTAACACACACTCAGAAAAACAAAAGATGTATGTTCTCCCTCATATGTGGATCCTAGCCCCAAATCCTTATAAGTAAGTGCATATCCTGATGCAACTGCAGGGACCAAGAATATGGAAAGGAAACAGGAAGGTAAAGGAAAGAAGGAACCCGAGAGAGAATAGTAGGATAAAGGTGTTACTAAGGGCAAAATAAGTAAAAAGGGGGTAGTGAAAGAGGAGGGGTGGAAGGAGGGCTATAAAAAGAACTATGGGAAAAAAGGGAAAAAAATTCTCCAGATACACAATTAAAAGAAAAATCCTTAAGCACAGGTTTTTAGTTTAATGAGGGGATGGAACAAAGGCCTTCCAGAACAATATAGTTGTTAAATGAAAATCCCAGTGCCACACGTGGGTTGCCCCCCTATGAGCTGTTGGCCTTAAGGCCCTGGAAGTCCCCCAAATAATAAAGGCCATTGCCAATAATGTTAGTTGTACACCAGAAGTGAACAGAGGGACCCTACTGCTGAAGACAGTGCTTGATGTGAACACAGGAGAGGGAGAAGTCAAGCTTGGACTAAGCTGGAAACTCCCTGTCACTGGATGTGTGGCTTTCATGGTTGGCAAAAGGCAATATGCAGATGACTGGGGGAGAACTGTCCCCTATAGTTTTCCTCAAAGACAGACTCTGAGTGTTGGACTATCAATATACAAACAAGATGTTCCTGCTGATCTAGTGTATGTACAACCAGCAATTTTCGACTGTATGTAATGCCTGCTCCTAGGGGTGGAACCCACATCTGGTACTGTATACCAAACCAACCCCCTGTGGCAGGGGAGAATATAGGCCCCAGTGGAAAGCCACCACAATTTTTTTGTTAGATTGATGTAATGCATTTGCTAAAGTATCATCCAAGCAACTGGGTTTACACCCATAGCTTAAGTTATTATAGCAGCTGCTGTTTAGATGGTCTTGCTTCTTGCTGTTTGTGTTTTTATAGTAGATGGAATCCCACTGAAATGGGCCAACAACCCATGGAAAACTGACGATGCAGAGACCCGAAAGTTCAGTGCCTTGCCACAATAGGAGAAAAATCATCCCATACCCACCACCCCTCCAAGGTTCAAGGACTTTTTCTGAAGAGGTTGGTGGAAAGAATGTAAGAGCCAGAGGAAGGGGTGGAGTGTTACCTGGAAGTGTACTCCTACCACTATGCCAGCAAGCTAGTTACACCTCCCTCCCATACTCATCAAGGAGTCAAGGGGGGAGTCATTTACCCCTCCCACCCAATAAGTCGACCTTAGCTACATGTGGGGGAGGGTCTAAGCATATATAAGCAAAGAATGCCAGAAGGCGCCTCTCTCACTATTTCCTGTGGCTGTCAAGAAGTCACAGAATCTATATTTGAGTGTGTACTTTCCAGTGCACCTGTAAATTGGGGGGTGCACACTCCTCTGTAAATAAACTCCCACCTATGCTCTGCTTTAAAAAAAAGAAAATATAAAAGGAAGTAAAAACATACATCCATATACAAAAGAATACTAATAAAAGGAATGAAGTCCTTTTATTTTTTTTTTTTGAGGAATGAAGTACTTTTTTATCCTATAGCATGCATGAACCCCCATGGTATTATACTTAGTGAAAGAAGCCAGACACAAAAGGCCATATAACGAAAGGCTTTGCCTGTGGCCAGAGTATGCTAATCTAAATAATCAGAAAGTAGATTAGCAGTTTTCAGGGGCTAGGGAACACTTGCTTAATAACTGTAGCATTTCTTTCAACATAGTGACAATGTGGAATTAGAAAGGGGTGATGGCTGTCCAATGTTGTCAAAACACTAAAAACACATTAAAGGAATCATTTCATGGTGAATGAAATTAACTCAATAAAAATGCAAAAATGTTGGCCCCTTGGGAGTCATAGGCAGGTGAGTATCTGTGAGTTCCAAGTCAGCCAGGGCTACAAAGTGAGATCCTATCTCAAAAGAGTTACATCTGTTACGCCTCATATAACTAGTAGAAAAATCATATATACCCAAAATTGTTATGTTATATAGATCTCATCTGCAAATTATTTTAGCATATTTAAGCTGCACACATTTAATATTATTACCAGTATTATGTCCATTACAAAGAAAAACACTGTAGGCAACTTTAACTTTTAGAAATAATTTTTCTTTGCACACATAATTAGACCTGATGACTCCAACTATATGCAAACAATTTTAATTCGGTTCTGCAGAAAGAAACTGATTTTAGGAAGCAGGGTAATTGGGGAGCATTAGCCTTTTCAACAAGAGCGTTACATTTAATAACTAATAACTTTCTTTAAATTGCTGAAAGCTATGCATGGATACCAGGAAAATGTGATGATCCCACTATTTTCAATGAATCTTGGGTCAAGCGAAAACTTCTCGGTAATCGAGCGAAATAGCCAACTATGAAAAAGAGAAAGAAAAAAAATGATCAAAATTTTCCACATAAAAATTCCAAGCATTAAAATGGCATAGTATTTGATCTTGCCCTCATGCAAGAATCGTGAAACAGTGTCTTCTGACATGCTGCCTACTTCCCTTCATATGTCTTATATCTGTTACAGTTCTTACCGCCAGCCATTTTCTCTTTTTGATACAGGGTCTCCCTGTAGCCCCATCTGGCCTGGAACTCACTATGTAGAACAGTCTGGCCTTGAACTCACAGAGATCCACCTGCCTCTGCCTCCCAAGTGCTGGGTTTTAAAGCATGCACCACCATGCCCAGGTTTCCCCAGCAATTCTCTATCTATTCAGAATACACCCATCCTATCAAAGGTCCAAATCTTCCCTCTTTGCAGGACCCAAATCACAAATCCCTCCCCCTTCAAGTTTCCTATTTGTCCTTATTTCTTAGCTGACATGGGACATCACTGGCACCTCTCTCATAACAGTCAATCTACAGTGCAAGACAATTATTCATACACGTATATTATTCTCCTCAGTATAAACTCCATGGACAGAAGAACCAGTGTCCAAGGCAACTTAACAAGAATCATTGGCAAACACCATACCTTTGATATCAAAACTATTAAATAATAATTGTGAAATACATCTTGAGAGTCTTCATTGTTGAACAAGCATACACAGATGGGCATAATACTACGAACAGAAAAAGTGGGAAAGGCAGTGCGACATACTAAAGTCCTACACCCAAATAACCTTAACAGCAAGCAGAGGAAAAATAATACAGTATTAAATACTCGATGAGAATTTAAATCCAAATTCCATCATATACTGCTATTAGGACTTTCTGTTTTCCCATCTGCAAAATGGGATTGATGCTAATTCCAGGCTCACAGAGTTGCTACAGGAGCTGAGTGGAAAACTGTATAAACTGTTAAGTGCTATATAAACATCAGCTTTTAGTATTTGTGGTGTTAGATGTTGATTGCTTGGGGGCTGGAGAGAGAGCTCAGTAGTTAAGAGCACTGGCTACTCTTGCAGAGGATCAGGGTCTGATTCCTAGCACCCACATGGCAGCTAACAACTGTCTATAACTCCAGTTCCAGGTGATCCTCCACCCTCTTCTTACCTCTGTAGGCACTGCTCTACACAGGAGCATCTGCCTACAAGCAACACACTCATTTGCATAAAATAAAAATAATAATTTTTTTAAAAGATAGTGACTGCCAACCTATTTTGGATCCTCTCATGGATCTGTTATAGGAGGAAAGGAAAACCAAGCAAGATTTTTAAATGAAACCACAAACTTTCACTCCCAGGTACAAGTGCATGAGCCTTACTCAAAACCCCTTTTTTCCACCAGATTAGACTATTTGCTCCCACAGCACTTCTTTGCACCTTGACACCTGAGCTTCATAGAGACTGTAACCTTTCTTCCGGCTTCTCATTTCCTTCCTTTCTCCATCCTGTCCCTTGATTCACATTCCTCCTGCATTTATATTCTTCATTAGTATTTTCGTTCTCCCTTACTTGAAAAAATTTTTGCTTCTGACGAGTGTACTTTTTGTGTATTTATTTAGTAATTATGGGCCATTTTATTTTTTAATAAGACTACAACTTGAACACAAAACAACGCAGCCAAACTACAATTCAATTAAATTCTCAGGTCTTTCTTCAGCAGAAATAGATTTTGAAACAGAACTGATACACCCTGCATTTTCTATCGAAACCAACAGATGGCGCGCCAACATCAAGGATAGTATAAAAGCAACAGGATGCTTCCTAGGTACACAGGACAGTCAACACAATAAATCACTTTGCAGTTCACACTCCAACAAGGCCCGGAAAGGACCCGTGGGGCTTGGATAGTTTGCTGGGGTCGTTTTCTTTAAAAACTTCATGTCAGGATAATCCTATCTACGGGTTATTCAATTTCCCGCCACGCTCTCCTCTATGCAAATGTAGTTTCTTTCTAAGATTTCTATACAAAACAAACGTTGCCGCTATGGTATTAGTGATACGGGGTTTTTTGGTGGGGGCGGGATCACGTGACACGGGCCACAGCAATTGTCTTGGCTGGCGGCGCCTCGCCTCACCTGCCGGGGGTGCCCGCAGCAGGAAGGCGGAGAGCAGGATGGAGAGCACCGGGAACGCGGAGCCTGCGGGCCGCCGCCAGCCCGGCGGAGCCCGGCCGAGGGCCAAGGCCTCCATCCACACACCGCCGCCGCCGCCGCCGCCGCCGCCGCCGCCGGCCGAGCCTCAGTGCAGAAGGTCGTTGCCAGGCACGCGCCCACCCGCCGCCGGAAGTTGCCGGGGGCAGACCGGAAGAACGGACTGACGGACGCGCCGCCGCTTCCGCTGTGCGGCCCGCGGCAGGTGTGCTCGCCTGGGAGCAGGCTAGAGACTCTCGGCGCCCAGCCGCTACTGTGCTGGTGATTTGAGGGAGCCTCGCCACTCAGGGAATACTCCAGAACTTAGGTGTTCAGATTCTGGAGCTAGGCGAGAAATCGTGGAACCCGAAGTCCGCAGCTTTTGCCTTGCAATAATGGTGTTTGGCTACAGAGCAAAGGCCGTTCTTAGTTCTCTGGTTGGATATTGAGTTTCAGCCTTTGGGAGCCTGTGCAAGGCCACCAATACTGAGAACGTAAAGTTCCTGACTCTAGTAATGTGAAGAATTGTACATTATCAATGTATGGAACTTAAGGGAAGGGGAATGCAGTGAACACCTAGGAGGAAAATATTGCCTGAAAAGCCTGCTTGATAGAAAAATGGAGGAAAATCGCAGTAGATGAAATTGACTTTCAGGCAGTACTCAACTTAAAAGCTCTTCAATACCTTTCAGAAAAACATGAAACCAGTTGTCTAAAAGACCATTTACAGTAAAAATGTATTTTAAATACAAAGACTCATACATCCACTTTTCTGCCTTTGGAAGGATCAATAACAGCTTTAATAAAATATTTAGCAGTCATAGCAAATACGATGAGCAATGAAGTTCGAGCAACTAAAGGTAGACTATCAAGTGCCTTGTCAACGTTATTTAATATGAAGAAATGAGTGAAACTGAGTTGACTAAAAACCCATGGGACATTTTATGTTTTGGATAGACTGTCCAGGATTATAAACTGAAAAACTAACCATGTATTTCAACCTCACCTCTTATTCTGTAGTAATCTCAGGAGTGCAATGATTGTAGTGGGCATGGCCACATTCTAGTTACACTTGTATAATTAGTCCGATTGATTGATTTATATTGTGTCTGACTCATAGAAGTTTGCCTGTTTTGTTTTGTTTTTTTTCTTCATTAAGAAAGCTATGAGTTACTGCCTCCAAACTCTAATACATTTGGTAACAGTTTTTGTGGGGAAAAAAAGTCTAATTGAAATTGGCTCTTAATTGAACTGATACATTCATCCTTTAAAAGAAACTTGTTTTTCACAAAGTCATTTGCAGAAATAGCATGAAAACATGGCTTACGTTCTGGACATCCTGGTAACTTTAAGGAAAGAAAGAATTATTTAAGCATATAAGAATGAACATTTACTTTGCCTATAACTTATAAACTGTCTTCCTAAAAATCCTATCTAAGAGTTAGTATAATACATGTTTTTTTGCTGGACTATATTTAACACTTAGATACTAAATGTTAAAATTTATTCCACCTATCAGGTAAATACTTCCTTGTAGTTTGGATGCGTGTATTCACTATATCAACTTCTTCATATTTGAATACCATTTTATCTACCTATAAAATATCAATATTGAAAGTGTTAAAAATATATAAATGAATATGGTTTTCCTGAGTTTTGGAGAAGTATCTAATGGATATACTACCAAGGCCATTTTTTGTTGTTTTTCTAAGAATTACATTATGATGTACATAATAAATGGTTCAGTGTGTTGGAATTCTATCTGTAGCCAAGCAACAAGGGCTCTTGCTTTTTTTTCCTTTCTATCCTATTCCTGTACTGCTTTATCTTTCATTTAATGGAAAAAATTACCTTGAGAAAAAAAGAAAATGACTAACATTTAGAAAGTTGAATAATTTATGCTGTATTAATCTTAACCTTCAATGGGTTTTCAATAGTTAAAGGGAACAGAATTACAGAAGAATTTAATTCACGATTATCAAAAATTATAATGAGGAAGTCCATGGATATGGAGCTTAAGAACAAACCTGGAAAGATAAGTATCCCCAAAAGGTTCATCTTCTCAGGAATAAAGCCCATTGACAATTCAGATTACCCACACTGTTGTGATCTCTTACGAAAAATGAACATGCCTTTTGTGAAAGGTTTTGAGGACAGACATAACCATGGCAGATTTGAAAAGAAATGCAGCCCTGCTTTTTTGAAATTTCATCCTTACCCACCTTCAGTCCTGCCAGACTACAATTCCCACTACCCTTATCCCCCACCATTTGGGCAGGATTATCCATTATTTCCACTTCGTGATGATGTGCCACTAGGTGATCCCTGTTCAGGATTTATGAGTCCTGGTGGCGATGCTGATTTAAAGCCTGACATCGGCAAAACCATACCAAATCTTGTGAGTTTCCATGATGTGAAACCTCAAAATAGAATCCCTAGACCAGACACAGGATTTCAAACAGTAGTAAAAAGACAAACAATTCTATCAGAAGAACTGCAACAGGACAGGAGATGGAACTCCAGGAAACTACCAGACATTTCCATCAGAGCAAGACTTGGAGGTAAATAAAGCGACATTGCCTTTATGCATCTCTCATGATTCTAGTGAGGCAGAAAAGCGTGAATGTGAGATTGTTCAAATTTTAACAGGTAAAGTAGCTTAAAATTATAACTGAATATGGTATTTTGTTACATATTTTTAAGAAAGTTGTACTAAAATGATAAAACTTACAAATCCACTTGTAAACAAAATTTAGTTTAAAAATAAAGTATATTACTTTAGGGAACAGCACAAAATGAACAGGTAATTCATTTTATATATAAGGATAAATTTATTTTACCAAAAGCAGATTTATGTATCACTTTAATAATTGAATAACACACTTATTTGCCTCTCTCCATGGAAACAATCTGCTGATGGTTATTAAAGAGTTAGGTTCCAATGGCTAAAATGAAATAGGAAAGTAATGAAAAAATGAAATAGGCAAAAGTAAATTTGGTAAGAACAGGAACTGAAAAGAAACAAGCACCATATAAATAGTTCTACAGTTCCAAAGACTGGAATAATGGTGTTACTGTCATCAGTGTGGCGTCTCTAGATGCTGACTACTGAGTGATACCTCCAAAGGACAACAACAGAAACTATTTCCTGTGTAGGGAAGTGTGTATGGCAGGCAGGGAGTGATAAAAGATTAACATCTTTCAGTGTGGAAAAGAAAAAGATCAAGTCTGTTACAGGAGGTGCTTGGCTTGCTCTAGGATCAGACTTCTGATGCTTCCAAAGCTCATTTTCAGCTCTCAACTGTGGCCTAAAGGTCAAAAGAAAATGAGTGAAGGAAGGATAAGGCCACCAACAACTAAATATTATGTTAGTCATTAGAATATGTAAGTATCAGAAATGAAGGAACCATTGATGAGTTCCAGTCCACCTCACAGACACTGTGTATTTCATTGGATCTGAGCTAGTGACTTTTTCTAGTCTTTCAAGAAAGAAGATTGGGCTTAAATTTGTTAATGTTTCAATGCATAATAGTATATTTCTTGCCAAGAAGACTTTATAAAAGAAATAAAGTTATTATTGGGCAAGCATGCTATTCACCTTTTAAGCAGAAAACCCCAGGCCAATATAATTTTAGAGACATCATTCATTTCTTCTTGAAAGTAGTACTCAAAATGGACTCTTGAAATATCATTCCAAGAGACTTTATGTTGAACAAAGGGTTTGTTACAGCCACCAAATTACTAGTATAATGTTGACAGGTGTGGCACCAACAATTCTGAATCAAATTTATTTATGACTGTTTCTTTAAGACCCTGTGTATTGCACTTCCTGAATCAAAACAAGAATTCAGAGATTAGGCTCCAGGATCAAGAATGGGCTCAAATCTAGTCAAATGCTTATTTGTTGTATGAACCAGGACCACATGGAATTCTTTTTAACCTGTGTGTCCTTATTTATAAACACATAATAAGGAAAATAATTCATAGGATAATAACTATTTTATGTGATTCATATAAAAATAATGAGATAAAAGGAGACAACAAGGCCAGATAGCATAAAACTAAGCTCCAGAACTTTTAGTTGCTTCAGACATAAATTGAGAACAATAATACATCTCATAAAATTGTAAGAATTCAGTCATGTATAATACGTAGGAAATGTTCTAGAGCAAGGAACGGTATTCAATTAATAATAGTTACTGTTGTTGTCTACTAACAGTTTCAAAGAGTAATTCTTAAGATTTAGGAATTGAGTTCAATATAATTTTTCTTGGGCATTCAGCAACTTTGTCAATCGTAGGAATGTTTATTGATTATAAATTATAAACACATTCTTCTCAATACATTCTAATAAAGGGCATCTTAGAATCAATTCCCAATAGCTAATATGAATTAAAGCTATTCATATTAAAGCTATTCATAAAAGATTACATTGATGACTTTTTCCCATTCCAACACTGTCCAGTCTTCAAAATATCATCTACTGCTTAATGATTCTAAATATCCTAATTATATTCAAACTTTTTAAATGTTTTTATTTTTCTATTTTTCTTTCTTATTTTTATTTATTTAATAACCACATGATTAGAAGAAGCATTTCATTACAGCTTTAACATATTCAATAACAATTTCCAGAGCAAAGATACATCTCTTTCAAAAGTGACTGTAAATTTTTAGGTTCACAGTTGAATTAATACAGTTATACAATATTGAACTCAGTATAAACCCCATAAGACATAAAATTGAATGAGTTTTTAACCTTTTAAAAAGATCTCCATCTCATTTTAAAATATACTGTTTCCTACAGAAAGATACATTTTAAAGGCTACTAACACTTAGATGTTTCCACATGCATCTCTAATCTCTATGTATCTGATCATTACTAGTCACCGTCAGTTACACTCGGATCCTTGGCACGTGAGTATGGATATAAAGTCATCGGGTACATTTCAGTGGTAATGTTTATCACCTCTACTAATTAACATGAAGTAAATTTTTATGCTTCCTTCTCAAATATAGCTCATTTTTATTTGTTGATTTATAGTGCACGCTGGGCTCTCTGCGCGCCCTGGAAGCGGCACGGTGGGCCTGGCCACGTCCCACAGGCTTCTCCAGTGGGCCGCGTCCTGTGGCACCGCGGCTCGTGTCTCCTGGATGCGGTGGCTGGCCGCGGCGGCAGGCGGGTCCCCGTCCGCCACTTTTTGGTGCTGAAAAGTCCCTCTGCTGCTGAGGTCTACTCAGCCGGTCCCATCCTTATTTCACCCGTGTACTTTCCTCAGGATGCGAGGTCCACTGGCCACTGAACCACGCAGGAAGAGTACGAGGACGGTGAAAGCTAGGGTGTCCGCAAGTCAGTTACAGAGGATTGCACCCCCCGGAGAGGCTGGGTCGCCGGTAGTAAGACACAAGACTCAAGATTCAGCTTAGCCTGTGTCACAGCTTTTTATTAAGTGTAGCTTCAAGTGATCCAGCTCTCTGCGACCCAGCTCTCTGATACTGAGAGAAAGACTGGGATATTTATACCATGGGGGTAGTGGTAAAAGCTTTGGCTGATAGATACTTTGTGAGACATTTTATTTGCATATGGAAGTGGATTTCTGCCATGCTGCCAGACTGCTGACTACCTGAAAAATCACACAGGAAAGCATGGTATTCCTAGAGCCAGAGGCCATGTTTATGTTATGGCATTTATGGCGGGCACTTCAAAAGGAGAGTCAGGAAAATTGCCAGGAAGGCACCCTGCTATGAAAGGAGTCTCAGCACATAACTCCGAGCTTCGTGAGCTACCCAGATATGAAGAGACTTCTACTTCACATAACAGAGGCCCCCAACATTGATTTTTTTGTGTGTGTATATCAAACAGAACATCCTGAACAATCTTATTCATCTATATACCCACTTCCCAAATGGCACCCTCCCATAGCGCCCCCCCCACACTGGAGCCCATCTACTCTGTCATCCCTGTTACTGTCCACTGTATTGTTGGTGTCCCCAGACATTCACCAGTGCTTGTCCATCTGCTGAATCTAGTCAGCCGATCTAGAGATCCTTCTTGTAGGAAGATCAGCTGTTCCTCATCTAGCAGCAATCAATCAGTTGTCAATATTCCTTTAGATAAGAATGGGGTCTGCTGTTCATTTTCCCAGTTCTATGCTGGGTTACTGTCTGGGAGTCTCTTGGGCCACCCTGGCCAACAACTCAAGGGAAGGTATCTCCTGTCTAGCATTGTTTCTTATTATGCAGCCTTTAGCTATGCATATGGACTCTTAAAAAATTATATTGACCTCATTAATCTTTGGTTATACTTTCCTTTTGGGTGCTTAAGACCCTATAGTTGGCCCAGATAAACCAATTTATGTTTACTCTTAAGGCCATTTGAGCATCTGTTCCTCAGGGGTCACATGGGCTTAGGAGGAGACCCAGAGCCCCTGGCTCTTTTCTTTTACCAGTTCTGTCTATGTGAAGATAAGTCAAAGGTCCTGCTTGACCATGGTTGGCTTCTCATGGAAGCATGGAGGAAATGTTTCCTCTGTGTTGACCCTCTTCTTTATAGACTGGACACTGGTTCAGGTCCATCTGGTGGGGTTGCCACGGCCTCCTTGATCAAGAGGACAGGTGACTCAGCACAGTTATACAACATTTTGAGAGATGTTCATAGTCCCCTGGAACTTAGTCAACCTAGGAGGGCAAGGACCAAAAACTGTCCTTCTGACCAAATTAGTATAGGCCTCAAAGTATGGCTGTTAAACATCCAAGAAGCTTAGTTCCACTAGTCAGGTACTTTTAATTACCATGTGCCATATAGATAAAGCTTGGGCAAAGACCAAACGTTCTCAGATAAACCTTGCCTAGACATATATATTCCTTAATCTAGTTGTATGTATAATTTGTCGGTAGGTTGTTGGACTAATATGGTTCCCTCTGCTTTTATTTTTATTGTTCTTTTTGCTAGCAATAATTATTTTGAATATTTTGAAATAATGACAATGAGAATATTTAAAAACATTCTTTCAATTATTTGTCATGAAGTGTTTTTTCATTTAATTATATAAATTATTATCAAAACAACAATCATAGAGATACATCATGGTGTTCATTATATATTTTCCAAAATACATTTATGCTTTATTCTTATATTTATTATTTTCTAAATTATATATGTGCATGTGTGGGTATGTGCACTTGAGTGCAGAAGCCTGTGAAGGCCAAAAGAATCAGATCCCCTGGAAATGGAGTTTTAGGCAGTTAGGGTCTGCTTGCCATGGATGCTGAAATCTAAACTTGGCTCCTCTGGAAAAGCAGTGTATGCTCTTTACCACTGAGCCATCTCTCCAGAATCCCCATTTATATTTTAAATTATTCTTATTAGTTTTAAATACACAATTATTACTGTTTCTTAAAAATAACTTCGCTGTACTCCATTGTGTGATTATATTATCTCATACATTTAACTTGTTGAGGTTTAATTTTTAATAATATTTTTATGGATTCTTAGAGAATTTCACACAGTGTAGTTGGATCATATTCAGAGTCCCTCTCCCATCTTCTCTCAGATCCATCTCCACCTTCCTATCCCCCTCACTGTATGTCCTCTACTTTTTAATATTTTTATTGAATTTTTGTGTATTTCACACACAACATTTTAGTCCTCTTTACACACCCTTCCCCATTGGCACTTTCCCATACCCCTCACTAAATTTCACACATTCTGTCATTTATGTTAAGGCCTATTGAGTCAACTTAGGGGACACTAACTTGACATGAAGTCCTCTATTTTTAAGGCCTATCAAGTCTACTTTATGTTCTTCACATGCTCTTGGATGTGGGTCATCACCAGGAGCCTGGTCAACCTACCCAGTCATACTCTTAAAGAAAACTGGTTCTTCTTCTCCCATCAGCTACAATTTTCCAATAGTTTCTCCACTGAGGTGGGACTTCTTGCCCACCTCCCTGATTCATGCGGGATTTTTGTCTGGCTTGGACTTGGGAAGGACTTGTGCATACTCTCAAGCTCTATAAATTCATATGTGTAATGACTCTGTTGTGTCTAGAAAGCATGATTGTCTTATATTCATCCACCACCTCTGGATCTAAAAACCTCCCCTCTCCAATCTTCAGCAGTGATCTCTGAGCCTTGGAGGGACAGGGTCTGATACAGGCTAATTTTCTTCATATTGTCCAGTTATGGGTCTCTGTGTTAATAACCATCAGCTGCAAGCAGCTTCTCTTGGGAGCTGAGAGCTGAGAGATACATTAATCTATGGATATAACAATAAGTGACTAGAAGTCAGTTTAATACTATGCCCATTTAGCAGGATAAAAGTAGTAGCCTCTACCCTAGGGCCTGTGACCTGCCTAGCCATCAGTTATTGAGCCCATTAACAGCACCAGTTCCTTCTTGTAAAGCTATAAATCCAATCAGAAAGTATTCTGTTACTCGCATCACATTCGTTCTACTATTGCACCAGTGGGCATATTTTTGCCAGGCCATTTGAGTGTGCCTTTCTTTGTAGCAGGTGATTCAGTCTTCTTTATCACGGAAAAAATAAAGGTTCTCTACAGTCTATTATCACCTAGTTTGCCTCACTTTCAACTCCAGTATCAATATTTAAACCTCTCTGTATGTTTTTCTATCTTTTTAGCTACTATCTTCACTTAGGCTTCTATAAAAATAGATACTGAAGGTTGTTTGGCTAGAACAATAGGCACTAATTTCTTACAGTTACAAAGGATAGATGTTAAAGTTCAAGCAGCCTGGAGAGTTAACTCTTCCCAAGGGCCTTCTTCTAAATTTTCAGAACGCTGCCTTTTTCTTGTGTCCCTTGGGTAGCAGACAGAAATAGAGCCCTGGTGAAAAAAAGAGTTGCTATTATGAAAGTAATAGTCCAACATTGATGTAAGTAGTAATGTTACAAGTATGAATTGGTAATTTATGAACATGTTGAGCACTTCAACTGTATACCAAAGACTTTGCCCATTCTTTTATATTATCTTTCATATATCAGAGTAATCATTAAAGATGAAGACCATAAGACTCAGAATGGCCAAATAACTCTGACATCTAAACAAGAAAGTATGTTCATTTTGGGAATACATGATATGCTGGGGTCTGATACAGCTTTACCATAATGGGATTCAGAGATAGCTCCTGAGTGCCTGTGCTGTGCAAATTTCTCTCACAATCTCTCCTGCACTTTAACACCTCTTATTCACATAGGCCCCAAATGGTAACTTCTAAATTCACAATTTGTACATTGGATTCATTCATGGAGCAAAGATACAAAGTAGAAGACAAAGAAGCCTCTTCTCCCTCTATGGGATTGCAGACGGACTCTATATGGTAACTACCAGAGCTGCTACTGTTATCATCACACATTGGTCACCTGAGTAAATCAGAGTAGTTTCTAAGAGTTACAAATCTCTGTTAAAATCTTCTGAAGAAATCCATCCACAGTTTAAGACCAAGGCTTTCCTGCACTGACCCCGTCTGCTCCTCTTGTTCTTCAACTGTTTCCCCATCTGCTACTTCATAATGCAACTGTAACATTCTGTAGTGTCCTAATACTCTGATACTGTCACAGAGCAGGATACAATTGCACATGCCATTTCCCTGCCTTTAACAACTACTCTTCATCCACCTCCCTTTCCTTCCCCACTTCCTTTTTCTGAGGTTCCTCTGTGTGTGTGTGTGTGTGTGTGTGTGTGTCCTATTTAATTTTCAAGATTAGATCAGTTGTTATCTTCAGGAAGATGTTCCTAACTCCTTACAATCTGGTTGGATTAGACAGCCCTTCTCTACAACCTCATAAAACTCTGGGCAGTTGCCGCATGCTGGCTTCAGTACTTACACGTCTGAATTTTCTTTGTCCACTGGTACCTCAAAACCAAAACTCCACTTTTCATCTTTATATACCTGTTATCTTCCACTTATGGTATGCCAAATGCTTCTGGTCTATATTTTGTTAAATATTTTATGCTGCTAGACCCTGACAACTTCTATTTCTAAATTATTTACATAGTAACCAGACTTTCATTTTACTACCCCCAGCCCTAGGATGTCTATACACACATGCCCCCCCACAAACACACATGCATGCACATTACATGTATAGGTTCCTGGTATTCAATAGGCCTCTTACAATAGAAAATAAGAAATCCAAATAATTATTCCACTGCTATAATTATGCTGGCATGCAAGTGCCAGAGCTACTGTATCTTCATAGCAGTTCACAGTCTAGGAACCATCCTCAACCACATCTCAAAAAGATCTTGAAAAAGTAATTAGATAGTCCATTAAAAATCAACTAGTACTATGTAGTCTTGCTCTCTGATAGGAATTGTTTCAGACAGAAGAAAAATTACTGTTATGTTTTTAACCTAAAGCATGTTATATTTTTGGGTTTCAGGTTGGACAAGCGGAGTGAAAGTAACTCCTTTAGCATCTCATCATGATCCATGCTCGATAAATCACACATACACATTTGATGAGGAGGCAGCATGTACAGTAAGATGTTCTTACTAGGTGGATTTATACAGCAGAATTAGTTTATATCATAGTCTATGCATTGATATTTTCTTCTGCAGAAAAAAGCTACTAGTGATAAATTGTATCATTTTTTATTAATTCCTAAAGAACTAAATACATTGCATTGTTATCATACTCACCCTTCCAACTCCTTCCAGATCTATACCCGCACTCCTACTCACCTCACCCTTTATGTCCTCATTTTCTTAAAACCCATCAAGTCCTGGATGCCCAGCCTCTAGGAGCATGGTTAATTTATCAGGAGTCACACTCTTAAAGGAAACTGACTCTCCCTCTCCCAGCAGCTATCAATTGCCAATACCTCCTCAGCCATTGTGGGACTTAGTGCCCACCTCCACGTTCCCTGCTGTGAATTTGTCTGCCTTGAGCTTGAATAGGTCTTGTGCATGCTGTCACAATCATTATGAGTTAATATGTGCAACTTCCATGTTATGTCAAGAAAATATTTCATTTTACTTGTCCACCATCTCTGGCTTTTATACCCTTTCCACCTCCACATTCTTGATGATCCCTGAGTCTTGAGATGAGGGATGTGATATAGCTGTCTAATTTAGGATTGAGCACTCCATGGTCTCTTTTTCTTTACACCTTGACTGTGGGTCTTTGTATTAATCACCATCTACTGCTGGGTATGGTGGTGCAAGCCTTTAATCCTAGTACTCAGGAGGCAAAGGCAGGTTCATCTGTCTCTCTGAGATTGAGGTCAGCGTCATCTTCATAGCAAGTTCAGGCTATGAACTAGAAGGCACAGCAAGAAATGGACAAGTAAATAAATAAAATAATTACCACCTACCATAAAAAGGTGAGTCTCTGATGAAAGTAGAGTGATGCAGTGACCTATGAGTATAAAGCTAAGTCAATAGGAATCCATTTAATCCTATGTCCATTTAACAAAATAAGAGTATTAGGTTCTTCTTGAGGGCCTACAACCCATCAAGCCACAGATTTTGGGTCCCAATCACAGTGCCAGATATGGTTCCATCTTTTGGAGCAGACTTTAAATTCAAAGGAAGTGATTGGATACACCCATACCATTCATGTCACTACTGCTCCAGAGGGCTTATATTGCCAGGCCTGTCAATAAGTAGCTGGCAGCATTCACAGATGTATAAGGTCAATGATTATTTTTCTTTTCTGGTAGAACGCATAGCACTTTCCAGAACAATGAAAGCTATCCAGTAGAGATGACACTTCCAGGGATGACCAGTTTTATTTCCTCATGTACTATGGCTCAAGTTATGTGTTATCTTCAGCAGTGGGACCTTATCATCAAATTCTGGAATATAACCAAGAACAATGGCAGTAGCCTGTCATGTTTGGGGGTCTATTGGCCCTCACTGGACAACAACTCCACAAGAGTTAACCATTGTTGGCTCTGTGCATTTTGTTGATCTAAAGTGTCCAGCAGCATTGTTGCCCAATTATTGGATAATTCAATCTAACTTCTTTATATATACGTGTGTGTGGTGGGGGAGAGACTTAGGAAGCTTCTACAGTGGTAGGTTTCATTATGTCTTGTTCTAGTTTGCTTCTTGGTTATAATTAAACACTCTCACCAAGGCAACTTTGGGGAGGAAAGAGTTTATTTTAGGCTAAAGGTTATAGTCCATCATTGAGGGAAATCAAGGCAGGGGCTCAAGCAGGAACCTGGAAGCAGAAGCTGAAGCAGAGATCATAGGGAAACTCTGCTTACTGGCTTGTTTCCTCTGGCTTACTTGGCTACCTTTCTTACACAGCCAGGCCCACCTGCCTAGGGATAGCACTGCCCACAGTTGATTTTGTCACCCTACAGCAATTAGCAGTTAAGAAAACTGCTCATAATAATATGAGACATACTCATAACAATATGAGATATACTCATAACAATTTGAGGGAGGAAATTCCTCAGTTGAGTTCCCTTCATCCCAGCTGCCTCTAGTTTGTGTCAAGTTGACAAAAACCAACCAACAAAATTGACCTCTTGTCAACTTGACACACAAACACATAACTATTAAACCATAACCCTTTCTTCCTTGTTTATCCCCAAGATCCCATGTTAATGTTACAATATAAAGCATAGTACAACTTCAGAAATCCCACAGTCTTTGAAAAACATCAACACTTTGAAATGAAGAGAATACCCTTGATGATCACTTGGGGGGAAAAAATCAACATTTAAAAGACCAAGTTCTCTTTAAAAATTTAAAGTCTCTTAATTGTGGACACTGGTAAAAAAAAGTAAGTTATACACTTCCTTATTCCAAGAGGGACGCAGAGGACAGTTATAAATCAGATCAAAGAAAAACCAAAATTCAACAATGTAAAAGCACAGTGTCTGGTACCTGGGACTCACTCATGTGGCTTGTTAGCCACACCTTTTGGGCTATGCAATCTTTAATACACAAAATTTATCCCTTGGGCTCAAGCCAGCTCCACTCCACACCTGCTACTGTGCTTTGTGGTGGATCTATAATATTGGCATCTCCAAAATAATAGGGTCTCCACTTCAATGGAGGCTGTAACTTCACCAGTGACTTCTCTTGGTCTTTCATGGTGTCAAGCCTCAGCTTTTTTCCATGACACCTTTAATGCTGCAGTTTTCATGCCACCAAAGCCAGTACCACATGGGAGATTCTTATATATTACCAATCTTGGCTCCAAGCTTCATAGGCAACCTTGCTACCTGCCCTGACTGGACCACCACTTCTATGTGCTGACCCTGAGAAAACACTTCCCAGAATATTTTGCCTTAATGACACTGATCTCTTGTTAATCACGGCTGATTTTCAGCTCCAGGTGACCAACATCCATTTGTCCCAGTTAAAGTAAAATGTTCACTTTCACAGATTCTTCATTCAAATATTTCATACAAATGGCCCCAATAGTCTATGAGAGAACCTCAAAGCTTCCACTGAAACCTCAGATGCCAGGCTCCTGTTGTCTGCATTCTCTCAGGATTCTTATGTCAAGTCTCCCACAAAACAGCCCATTAAGCTCTAGATATTCAATGACTTTTCCAGCTCAAAGTTCCAAATGCTTGTATAATCTTCCTCAAAACCAACATAGTCTGGTCCATCACATCATTGCCCCAACTTCCTGGTACCAACTTTTGTCCTAGTTTGCTTTTCTGAGGCTTTGATAAAACACTGACCCAAAGCAACTTGGAGAGAAAGGGGTTTATTTCATCTTACAGTCCATCATCAAGAGATGCCTAGACAGGAACTCAAGGCAGGAACCTGGAGGCAAGAACTGAAGCAGAGACCATAGAAAAACACTGCTCTGCCTTGCTTCCCCTAACTTGTTCTCCTATCTCTGTTCCCAAGTGCTAGAATTACAGGTGTAATTCTCCCTGACTGAAGGGAATATTCAAAAAGCAAAAAAAAAAATAGTTGCCTACATGTCTTTCTACAGATAAATGCATAAGGAAATTTTGGTATAGGTACATGTATTAGAATACTACTCAGTCATTAAATTTAGGCCTGCTATTTGCTACAACATAGATGAACCTCAAGAGCATTCTGAAAGAAATAAACCAGGAACAGAAACATACTCTGATTTATATGCAGAATCCAAGGAAGTCAAACAGAAGCAAAGAGTAGCATGGAGTTTGACAAGTGCTTCTGGGCATGGAAAAAGTGGGGAGATGTTGACAGAGGGATGCAAACATTTGGCTTAAGATGAATATGCTTGGGGATATAGTGTATATCATGATGACTATAGTTAATAATCCTGTATCATCATTTCCTTGAATTTTCATAAGACAGCAGATTTCATGTCCTCAACACACACAAAGGACAGCGATAGGTGGTGATGGATGTATTAATGAATGTGACTGTGTCATTCATTGAACAGTATATACATACACATATGTCAAGTCATGATGTTGTTATCTTGAAAAATAGGGGGAAAGAAAATAGTGAATAGGAAAATATAGCAATTCCTATTCATACTTGGTCTTCTATTCATATCTTATAGGATGATGGTGAACCACTTGTTCAACTAAACAAGAAATATAGTACAAAGGATTCATTTTACAAATCCTCAACACAGAAGTAAGCTTTTTTCTAATATAATTTTAAAGTATATTTCTTAATCCTTAATGGTACACATATTAATAATAGTTTGGATCATATGAATAATTCAAAGAACACCAAACACAGGTTTTTAAACACTAATATTGACTAATAACAAGCACATGTTCACACCTATAATCCCAGCACTCAGAAGCCAATGTCAGAGTATTACCGTGACTGGACCAGAGACTAAGACCTTGTCTCAAAAAAATCAAGAAAAAAAGAAAAGAAAATATGTTTAGTGGAAGAATAAAACCAAAACCACAGAGGGAGCAATGAGGGAAGGGCCGCAGGGAGTGGAGGAGAACACAGTGTTCTACAGAACAATGGTGGAGAAAGCTGAAAGGAAGATGGTTCACTGACTCTGTCAGTGCTTATTGGATCAGACGTAGGAGGAACAGCTCCCCACATCACCCTCAGCAGAATGAGGAGCTCCCCTAGACTTAGGGACCATGACTCAGGCCAAACCCAGATTCATGACTTTCATGCAGAAAAGAATTTCAAAACTAGTCAGTTTATGAACCAGAGTTGGGGTTCAAGGAAGATGTAGTTTATATTGACTTAAGCACATAGATTCAGCAAAAGAGCATCTTCTAGAAGAAATACATGCCTGAGAGCATGGATGTGGGCTTCACCAAGAGAGTCACTGAAATAAGATGTACCGAAGTGTGGGTATGGCGCCTCAGGAAGAGCCACATCTCACTGTTGCTTTTTATTTTACAGTAGTCATATATAGAATTTTGGTGGGGTTTAAAGTTGCTATCTTTAAAAAGATACTAAGGATTCTAAATGAGAGGACAAGGTGGTTCCTGAGGAGCGTCTGACAAGGTTATAGTTGATTAGATCCCCAGCTTTAGGAAGGTAGGGTATCTTTACTGCAAACATAGTTAAAAATCTTGTTTGAGATGTTCAGACTACATCTGGAGAAAGAAAGGAGGCCCTGAACAAAGTGATCTACATTCAGGCCTTAAAACTGGTTGATTGTTACCTTAACATAAAATATCTAAATACGAAAGAATATCAACTCTATGTAAATAGCCTTTAGGTAAAATGTGACTAATTGTGCTGGATTCTTGTTTTAAGCTGGTCAGAGCCTTCAATCAAGCTGCAAGATGAGGAAGTATTTTCCCTTCTCATGTCCCCATAATTTCCCTATCTTGAATCCTGCCATAGATCAGCAAAGTCTGTCTTAGACTGTGAGATGCATCTATAAATAAAGCAGACCAGAAAAAGTAGATAGACAATAAAGAAAAACATAAGAAAGTAAATAGATGCTACTTTTGAAGGTAACTGTTGGAAAAAAGGAAAGGCAGCTGGGAAGCTTAGACTTCAACAAGAGCTTTGAAGTTTGAACAGAACTAGAGGAGAGGGAACAGCTGTGCAGATGTTTGTAGTACATGTATTCTCAGAAGAGGAAATTAGTCTGAAAGCCATGCTTAAGATGCTGGGGAAGGACAAGAGGCCGGTGTCCCTCAAGCAACATGAGAAGAAGGGGATAAGTAAAACAGAAGTTCAGAGAAGTGCTAGAAACTAGGCCTTGTAGGCTACTTCAATGATTGTCGCTCTGACTGACTAGTTCTTAGCAGAAAAGTTACAAGATCAGACTTGACGCTGAAATAGTTGTGGTGACTACTGTATTCAGAGAAGGCTGCATGCAGAGAAAAACAGGGTTATGGCTGTCTTCTTAGGCAAAGAAAATGGTAGCTTGGAGAAGACTACTTAGAGAATGTTGTGGGCAATGACTGAGTTCTTGAATATAAGATGTTCATTAGAACTCCAACAGAATCTTCCAGGTAGGTAGTAGGATGCACAGGTTTGAAGTTTTGAAGAGCAGTCTAGCAGGAGAGATAAATCCAGGTGTCATGGCTTCTAATGATATACTGGATGAGGATATCAAGAAAGATATGGAATCAGAGAACCATCCCTACATTAAAACAAGGGAAAGAAAGAGGACCTAGCAAGAGTAACTGAGAAGACACACCCAGGAAAACAGGAGGAGTAAGAGGGGAATCTAGGGCCTGGAAGGCAAGCTAAAAGGGTGTTTCAAGAAGAATGGAGTGCTGTTGTATGTCATGTACCTGCGTAAAGTAAAGTTGAGACCCCAGGATGGATGGCTAGGTTCACTTGCAGGCTTAGAAGCCAGTAGAGAGAGTAGAAACTAAACACATGGCATGGAGAATGGGTGCAGAGAGAAGCAGCCATGCAAACAGCAGAAAGGAGATTTCATGCTGGCCACAGCCCTTCTCCCCTGTGCATGGAACACTGCAGATGTGCTTTGCACTTTGACTTCATTTATTCAAACTGAAGATATGGCTATGACTAAGTATGAAATCCTATCCAAGATGCTATGAACATATAAAGGAATGCATGAGACAAAGCTGGAGTTTAGTCTGACATAATATGAACAAACAGCCCTGCTGGATTATCAGCAGACTTGTTTTTCAGTCTTCAAGCTCCAAATATGTCCATTGGCTGAAAGGGGATACTGAAATCCACCAATTTTTAGTACCCATTATTTTAAATCTTAAAAATGAAGGATGGTCCTAAGATTACGCTAACAGGCATGCACACACAATGGAAAATTACAATTAAATGGCCTCTGTGTTGGATAGTTTTTGTCAACTTGAACCAAACTAGAGGCACCTGAAAGGAGGGAAACTCAAGTGAGGAATTTCCTTCATTAGCATTTTATGTAGCCATGTCTGTGAGGCATTTTCTTAGTTGCTAATTGATGTAGGATGGCCCAGCCAACTGTGGGTGGTGCCATTCATAGGCAGATGATCTTGGGATGTACAAGAAAGGTAGCAAAGCAAGCCAGAGGAAGCAAGCTACTTAGAAATGTTCCTCTGAGGCCTCTGCTTCAGTTCCTGCCTTGGCTTCCCTTGATGATAAACTGCAACCTATAAATTGATATAAACCCCCTTTTCTCCGTTTGTTTTGGTTAGTGTTTTATCCCAGACACAGAAATCAAATTAGGACAGAAATTGATACCAGTAACATGGAGTTTTGCTGTGATAGACCTGAACGTGTTGATTTGGGGTGAGAATTGTGAAAACATTTGGAAAATTGGGATGGAAGTGCTCAGAGCTTAATGAACTATTGTGGATGTTTGAAAGGTAAATATGTGGAGACAAATGCAGTAGATGAAGGAATGGATTTTCAAGTTTCAGTGGGAAGCAGACTCAATTAGGTCCATTGTATGATTTGTTTGCATTAAGAATCTGAGAAAGTGAAATTCTTGCTTTACCGGGACAATAGGTACTAGCTATCTGAACTGAAAAATCAACTGTGATTACTAAGAGACCAGCATCAATGAGGTGACATATTCTGAGGAGTATTTCCTCAAGGGCACTACACAGAAGCCATTGTCCAGAAGGAACCAAGGCTGCATCTCAAGCTGGAAGCCAAACTTGACAAAATGTAAGAGTCCCCCACATGGTGTAGGTTTTGAAGACATGGAGAGTTTATGGAGAACAGTTGAGGCTTGGCAATGTGTAAGGCTAGGAGAGGCCATTTGCATAGGTTCAGCTTCAGTTGCACTGGAGCCCCCCAGGATATTGAAGAATCAAGGAATGTGAGATGACAACCAAGGACAGTGTGCAGACATGAAAGTAGAGCCATCCTGAACCTACAGACAAGCTGAGTGTGCTTCAGACGGCAGAGCAGATGCAGATGGGGAAGTGAAATGCCTCCTCTTTAGCATCGCCAAGCCTTGAGGGAAGGGTATAATATAGATATCCCATTTAGGGAGCATTCCACAGTTTCATATTCTTTGTACCTTGTCCAGTTGTGGTCTCTGTGTTAATCACCATCTACTGCAAAAAGAAGTTTCCCTGAAAAAAAATTGAATAAAGCACTAATATATGATATAAAAATAAGTCATTAGAAGTTGGTTTGATACTATGTCCATTTAGCAGAGTAATCAGAGTATGACATCCCTTAGAGTTTATGACTTATCTAGCCACAGATTTTTGGCCTAATAACAATGCCAGTTATGAGTTCCCTCTTGTGAGAAGCCTATTAAATTCAAACATAAAGTGTTTGGTTACTCCTATAACAGTCATGTTACATTGCACCAATGGTTATATCTTGTGAGGCCAGTCATTATTGTAGCTCTCAGGGATCAAAGGTGGGCAAAATTGATGACTACTTTTCTCTTCCAATTACCTACATAACACCTTCCAACACTGTGATAACTATCCAGTACAGTGGGGATGAAGCTTTGAAATCAGTTCCAGCTGGAGTACTCAATTTTCTATGACTGAAGATGTAGTATTTTCAGCAAACTAGTCAGAACAGATAAGGACACTTTATACTCATTAAAGGAAAAAGATCCAACAAGAGGAAGTTACAATTCTAAACATTTATACACAAAGCACAGTGCCCCTGTGGTTATAAAACTACAGAGGGACTCCAACTTAATGATAGTTGGTGACTGCTATATCCCACTCTCACCAATATACAGTTATCCAGATAAAAAATTAACAGAGAAACTCTGGGGTTAAATGACATCATGAATCATTTGGATCTGACAGACATCTACAAAACATTCCATTCAAACACTAAAGAATATAATTTTTCTCAGCAGTCCATGAAACTTTCTCCAAAAATAGCCACACATTAGGATACAAAACAAGTATCTAGAAATTTAAGAAAATTTAGACAATATCCTGCATTCTGTCCAGTCACAAAGGAATAAGGCTGGATATTAATAGCAATAGGAAATACAGAAAGTAACAAACTCATGGAAACTAAGCAACACACTACTGAATGAAAAGTGTATCAAGGGAGAAATCAAGAAGAAAATCTAAAACATCCTAGAACTGAGTGAAAATGAAACATAGCATACCAATATCTGTGGGAAACAATGAAAGCAATCTTAAGAGGAAAATTATAGGATAAAGTGCCTACATCAGAAAATCAAGAGCCATCTCATATTAAAAAGGTGATAATGCACCTGAAGGCCTTGAAAAATCAAGAATGAACAACATCTAAAAAGAATAGATGGGAAGAGATAAGTAAAATCAAGGCTGAAATTAATGAAAGAGAAGAAACAATACAAAGGACCAATAACATAAAGATTTGTTTTTTTTAAATATTAATAAGAAAGAACTATGCTGAGAAAGAAATCAAGGAAATGATCCTATTCACAGTAGCCACAGAAACATAAAATATCCAGAAATAAATATAACCAAGGAAGTGAACAACTCTGGAAATTGTTATTGACTATGTCAATATTGTTGTAATGAAATGCTTCTTCTAATTAAAAAATAATTAAGATTGAAGAAAGACATTGAAGAAGTCATCAGAAGACGGACAAGCCTCCCATCCTCATGGATTAGTAGGATTAATATTATGACAATGACTATCATGCCAAAAGCAACTTCCAAATTCAACACAATCCCTGTTAAAATTCCAGCACAATTCCTTACAGAAATTAAAAATAATCTCAAATTTCATAAGGAAACACAGAAAATGTCAGGAGAGCCAAAACAATTCCAAACAACAACAACAAAATGCTGGAGGCATCAAAATCTCTGATTTCAAATTATACTAAAGAGCTATAGTAATTAAAAACACCATGGTAGTGGCATAAAAACAGACACATTGATCAATAAGATAGAATTAAGGTCCCAAATTCAAATCTGTGTACTTACAGCAACTCAATTTTTGACAAAGGGGCCAAAAACACACATTAGACAAAAGACAGTATGTTCAACAAAAAGTGTTGAACAAACCAGATAGCTACATGTAGAAGGAAACTAGACCCCTCTCTCACCCTTCAAAACCTTCATCTCCAAGTGAATAAAGGACCTCAATATAAGATCTGATAGGGGAGAAAATTGGGAATACGCTGGAACCTATAGACATAGGAAAAACAGAACTCTGATAGTGCAGGAGCTAAGACCAACAGTTGACAAATTGGACCTCATGAAATTTACGCTGCAAGTGCACCATCATTTGAGTGCAAAGTCAACCTACAGAATGGAAAACACATCTTTACAAGCTGTGTATCTGCTAGAGGGTTACTACCTAAAATATAAAAAGAAATCAAAAAGCTAAACATCATAAAAGAAACCCACTTAAAAGTGGGGGCAAGGAATTAAACAGAGTTCTCAAATGATGAAACACAAATGACTGAGAATATTTTTAAAGTGTTCAACATCTTTAGCCATCAGAGAAATGCAAATTAAAACTACCTTGAGATTTCATCTTAGCCAAGTCAGAATGACTAATAGCCAAACAAATAGTGACAAATGTTGGTGAGGATGTGGGGAAAAGGTAACACTTATTCATGGCAGTTGGGAATGCAAACTGGTGCAGCCATTATTTAAATCAGTGTGAAGTTTCCTTAAAAAGCTAAAATTGAGCCAGGCGTGGTGGTGCATGCCTTTAATCCCAGCCTTTAATCGTAGCACTTGGGAGGCAGAGCCAGACAGATCTCTGTGAGATCTGGTCTCCATTAGTGAAGCCAGGCCAGCTGTGGCTTGTGGCTACAGGGAGACCTTGTCTCAAAAAGACAAAAAAAAAAAAAAAGCTAAAAATAGATCTCCCACATGTTCCAGCCATGCAACTCCTGGGCATATACCTAAAGGATTCTGTATCTTACTACAGAGATCTCTATTCATCTATTCATCGATGTTCACTGCTGCCCTATTCACAATAGCCAGGAAATGGAAACAACCTACATGACCATCAACTGATGAGTGGATAATGAGAGTATAGTACATTTACACAATGGAATATTATTCAGCTGTTAAGAAAAATGAAATTATGAAATTTGTAGGTAAATGAATGGAACTGGAAAGAATCATCCTAAATGAGGTAACCCATACCTAGAAAGACAAATGTCCCATATTATCTCTCATAAGTACTAGCTTTGAATCTTTAGATAGATGTGTTTCAACTAGAAAGTCCTTCAAGATCAGTAAACCAGTAAGAAGTCATGGGGGATGGTTCATGGCAGAGAAGACAGAATGCAATGATATAAATGAAAAAGGGAAATAGGGGATAGGACAGGCTTAATGGAGTGGGGTGAGAGCGTGAAGCAGAAAAAGGAGTAAGGGGAGGAATAACTAACACTAAGGCCTTTTGAAAGAATTCATATAGAAACCTGCTATAGAAACTTTGCTCAACATATAGAGTTAAATGTAGTTGCCCTAAAACAGGGGTTCATCAGCCCTAATAGATACCAGACTAATAAATGAAAAGCTTAGTGCCAGGAATAGACTCCCTCTTTCAGAGTTGTTGACCAGAGAGTTCCATAGATCCTCAGATAATACTGCCTATTGCAACTACAAGTATTTACCCACCAGAATATGGTGTTAAGACCCTATTGCTGAGGATACTACATACCTGAGTCATAGAACAAAGAGAAATCAAGCTGGTACTGACCTTGAAGCTTCACCTCCACTGTCTAGCTTTCATAGTACTAGAAGGCACTGGGCATGTTACTGGCAGAGAGAGATAATCATCAACCTTACTCAGCTGTGAACACTGTGAGCTACAATAGCACCTGGTTTTGCAAAATATGCCCACTAGTGCAATAGTGGTATGAATATTATAGGAGCAACCAACCACATTCTAATTGGATTTAAGGCCCACTTCACAAGATGGAGTCCATACTTGATAGTGTTATCAGGGCCAAGAACCTGTGGCTGGACAAGCTGCAGGCTACCAGAGGAGAACTGCTAGCATCATTCTGCTAAATAGACATAGTATTAAACTGACTTTTAATGACTTATTGATCCATAGATTAGTGCATCCCTGAGCTCTTACCAGAGAAGCATCTTCTTGCAGCAGATGGGGATTAACACAGAGAGCCACAAATGGTCAGTGTACAGGAAATAAAAGACTGCAGAGTGCTCATCCCTAAAAAGGATATTGATATCACACTCTATCCTCCCAAAGTTCAGGGATCATTGTTGAAGATGAGGCAGAAACATTCTAAAAGCAGAGGTTGTTGATGTAAACAAGGAATCTGTGATCTATGTTGTCTGAACACCACAGTGTAATTGCACAAAAGAACCACAGCACTATGACAGCATACCCAAGACCTGTGCAAACCCAAGCCAGACAAGGTCCCAGCATGGATGGAGGAGGTGGGTAAGAAGCCCCAGCCCAAGCTAAGGATCTGTTGGCAACTGATAGATGCTGGAAGAGGGAGAGACAGTTTTCATTACTAGTGGCCTGGTATTGATGAGAATCCAAGGGATAGATCCACACCCAAGAGCACTTGGGGAACACAGAGTAGACTCAATCGGCCTTTAAAAAAAAACAAGTAATAATAGAGGACATGAAGTCAGGTATGTGGGTGTATATAATAAGGCAGAGGGGAAGAGAAAGAAAGGGTCTAAATATGATCAAAATGTATTATATGAAATTCTTGAACCAATACAAATATCTTTTTAATCTATAATCCACTTCTGGAAAATCTTAAAGAAATGGATGAATTTCTGGGTATATAAGACCTACCAGAGTTAAATCATGATGAAATCAATAGGTTAAATAGACTCATAACAATCAATGAGATAGAAGTAGTAATTAAAAATCTCCCAAAAATCTCCCAAAAAAGAGCCCAGATCAAAACGGATACAGCACAGAATTTTACCAGACCTTCAAAGAATAGTTAGCACCGGTACTCCTTGTTATTCAGTAAAATAGAAAAGGAGGGAATACTTTTAAATTCTTTTTACAAAACCAGCGTTACATTGATACCAACACCAGAAAACAACCAACAAAAAGAGAAAATTATAGGCCAATCTCTCTGATAAACATAGACACCAAAATTCTCAATAAGATACATTTCTTATTTCACATTTATCTTGTCTGTGTCAGAAAAAAACTTTTGGGTGACCTCACACACACCAACATTTAGTCAAAGGTTTGATATTTTATTCAGAATATAGTAGATTTATCTAGCTTTCCTCTCTTTCCCCTTACATAGTTCTCCCTCCTCCTTCCCCAGCTAAAGTATCCCCCATGTATTTTCATTTCTTCCTTGATAACACCTGTATCCTACTGTAATAGATAGATACAAAGGGAGGGAGAATCAGTTTTCTCCAGGAGTGAGCTCCCTGAGAGGTTATCTAATCCCAAGTAGTCAGTCCAAAACACAGGTACACATGAGGACGAATAATGGCCCATGGAGTCAGTGAATTACACATGTATATCTCTTACTCTTATAATGTCTCCCTACTCCTCCTCAATGTCTTGTCCTCTTTATTATACACACACATATAAATAACAAGTTGCAAGCGTTCCATCCCATTGTGTTCACCTGCTGCCTATTTTGGTGAAGGACCAGGTGTCTAACACCAGGGAACAGGCATCTTAGAAGTCACCTTAGAAGTCTGCTGCTGACAGTATATGACATTGTTATGAAATATATCAAAAGCAATTTTCAAATCCATAGTTTATTTGTAAAGTGATAGTCTTCTTACTCTGCTGTATGTGCTTTGCATTAGACGTTCTTATTTACTAATTTCCAGAGCTTATGAAACTGTACCTTGGGATAAGATGCTGCCACCAAAATTGGATCCAGAAGAAACAACAGTAGAAAAAGCTGCAGACCTCATCTCGCAGTGTTTCACACTGAAAAGATATGAAAATGCACCAGCCATAACTCGGGTCAGTGAACACCCCAATCAGTGTGCATACTTCTCGCTCCAAAGTTTAAGTCAATTCACTCATACTTTATTATAAGAATACATGTGGAGCTGAAAATGCCATAATTACAGGAGTCATTGGTATAACTGTAAATATTTTCATACACTCCATGCTGACAGGTTTACTACTTATTGGTCCCCTTCTCCAAGTCATTTGCAATGACTCTATTTTGAAAATTGAAAAAAAAGAATGCTAAATATGGAGACACAAAGAAATTATTCCATCAGGTAATCTAGATTGAGCTTGATTCTGGCAATAGGATCTGGAACTTAGCTGTCCACTCCTCAAAGTGCAACAGGAGGATCCATGAGTGTACACCACTCTCTAATGTCTCTATGTGATAGAGCAAAGCACACTGAGGTGTCAGGAGAGATAGCCATTCAGTTCGTTTCCAAATGTCAAAAGGAGATTGTCATGTGGATTCTTTTTTCCTATATCTCAGCAGCAGCCGGAGTACTTTTTCTAAAGTACAGACAGATCTGTCCCGGTTACTTCACCCAGCCCATCTTTTTCAGAACATGGAATCCATGCCTCGCTCCCTTGCTCTGTTTCCTTCCCTCTCTGCTGAGCTTTTCAGTCTCCACACTCCGTGCTGGTCTGTCTTTTGCAGTCTCCCACTGCTTTCATCACTCTGTACCAGGATGAACCTCAAGCACTCCTGAGGACCTGGCTTTTGACCTCCCAACCCAGGCTCAGATGCCTGCTTTGTGCCTGCAAAGCACCTTCTGCGTCCCTCGTTCTCGCCACCGTCTGTGTTGCAGCTCCCAGCCCAAGTCTGGTTCTGCAATTTAATTACTTTCCCTAATGAATTTTTGAGCACATAAAACCACATTATAAAATGGGAAACCAGTTACATTAAAGTACAATTGGAGACCCCAGGGGATCCTGAGCCCCCAAATAGGAAGCCCACATTATATTGTAAAATGTCTTCTACTTTCATAGAGAAAACAGTAAGAGAGGGGGGACAAATAAACCCTCAAACCTAGGGTTGCCACATAGCAGGGGGAATCAATTAAAGGACAAAATTATCTATGATTTTAAATATTTTTAAAAATCTCTCAACTAGATCTCTCTTCTGTGTTAAATGATGCGAATATCCCAAGTCCTTCCCAGGCAGGGCGCTGTTGAGAGCTCTGAAGCTGTACTGGCTGTGAAGGCAAAACTACCGTGGTTCTGAGACAGGCGGTGTCTGCTCTGAAACTGGAACAAACCTTTCACGTGGCTTCCAGGGGCGTCGGGGAGGATAAGAGTCAGATTGTAACAGAGAGAAGACAGGGTAGGAGTGGAAGTCTGAAAACAGAGCCAAGACCCACAGCACCCTGTAACAAAGCTATTAGTTGCTGGGATGCCTGGAGAAGGTTTTCACAGTCTGGGCTCAGCTATGCTTAAGAGTCATACTAAGGACACTAGAGCTGGTATCTGTGAAATTATAATAAGATCATTAAATACCTATTGCTTATTTTGGTAATGGTTTTAGATGGTCGGTGGACTCTGGGACAGATTTCAGACAAGATTGTTCTCTGCACCAGTCAAACCAGTCTATTTGTAAGTTTGATCTCCTTATGTTCTCAATGCCAGATTTCCACTGTGGCCTGTTTGTCACTATGAGCCTGATGGTTTCACCTGAGGGGCAGGAGGGGGGGCGAATTCAGATGGAGAGTGTTCCAGGCATGTTCCTCTCAACATTCCTGGGGCTGGGAAGAGGACCCAAGTCCCTTTACAGTGGCTGAGCTCCCACCTGCTTTCTCTTTACCTCTAAAACTGAGTCTATTAAACACACCCCCCATTTAAAAAATTGGGAGTGCTGTACAAATAATCAAAACGACCTATCAGAATGCTATGGTGCTTAATGGACTTCATGTAGAAGGGATTCTAATTATGTTCTATCAGCTTTGAACAAGATTTTTGTGCCATCTTCACATGCTGCTTTACTGTTGGCACTCTCCTGTGCATAACACTGTGCACTGAATAGAAAATCCTGTGTTTGTGCTTTCTCTTTGTAGTTACCACAACCCAGGTTAGGATCTCTTTTTACTTTTTAAATTCACTCTGAATGTTTCATATTAAAATGCATAAGCAAAAAAATGGTATAATCTATGTATCTGCTCTTTCTTTAGAAAAAATATTACAGCACAGTGGAAGCCTGGTGCCTCTCCATCAGCACTCTCTCCACCTCGGAACATGTTAGTCTGCATTTAATTGTCCACGTTTTCATTCGTTCTTTTAATCCTTTAAAGCTTACTCTTCTTCACAGACATGAGGTTCTTTTATGAACTCAGTGTAAGTGGTATCATGCCTTTGTTTGAGCCACAAAACATTTTGTCCACCATTATGCTTTTAAGATTCATAGTCACCTCTGGCTCTGTGGCTGTTTTTTGTTTTTTGTTTTTCTGTAGCATAACATTACATTGAACAGTCAGATATACCATTCAGCCATCCACATCATGTATTTTTTTCTAAATTTAATTACAGTTGGAACAACATCCATTTATATTCATATGCCCAAATGTAAAACTACTTCTGGGTTTGATACAGGCGAATTTATGTCTAAAATTGCTGGGTCAAGAGGGGCATAGTTCCTTATGGTCTATTTCAAATACTTCTTCAAATGAGGCTCACCAATGAACTCTCTCACCAGCAGAGCTGCAAACACAACTACATCACATTGTGGACAATGCTTAGAATTTTCTGGTTAAAATTTCTTCAATATTATGAATATGAAATTGCACTTCACTACAATTTTTGCTCACATCTACCCAATTACTAATAATCATTTTTGTAAATTTACGTGTTACATGTGTTTTCTTATCTACCACTTGCCCATTCATATAGTTTGCCAATTGTGCTCTTGGCTTGTCTGATTTTTACTCACTCATTGAGCCTTTTATGTTTAACATTCTGGATAGAGATTCTTTGTTGAGGGTTGGCACGATGGTTTATTGGGTAAAAGTGTTTGCTGCCAAACCTGATGACCTGAGTACATGGTTCCTGGAATTCACATGGTAGAAGGAAAGAAACAGCTCCAGAAACAACCCCGGAAAACTGTCCTCTGACCTCCACACATGGGTTGTGGCAGGCAAGCACACATACACACACGCGCACACACGCGCGTGAACACACACACACACAGACACACACACAGAATAAATAAATGAAAGATAGAAAAAAATATTTATTGATGGTACACATCAAAGTATCTCACCTGTAACTTTTGTTAGGATATGTTTTGCTGAATTAATGTTTTGGTTTCTAATGCAGCTCAATTCAATATTTTCCTCTATATCTTATTACTTTGTAGATTTTTATGTAAACTTCCCTGAAACAATAAGAATATTCTCTTCCTTTTCTTGTTTATTTTTCTAAGATATTTAAAATTTTTCTTTCATATGCATCTCTTTAAACCATTTGGTGCTTATATTCACTTGGGATGTAAGTCAGGGATCCAATTTATCACCCCAAATAAGAAGCTCTAGTTCAGTGTCAGAAGACCTTACCAACTAGCTGAATGGGCAATGTTGGTTGTAAGGCATCAGTGGTGAGTTACAACCAGCATTCTGTAAGAACTACATAGAATTGGAAATGTGAACATAAATCACTTAGAGCCATGTGCTTTTTAACAAATACTGTGACCAGTTACATAGAACAGTGAGAATCAGACAGATGTCATCAGAGGAGAATGTACACCACTTGAAGTGATTACTCTGTTACTCCCATTATTTAGATTACTACCGAGTCTTGCGATAAAATTGCATTTCATTAAGCCATATCAAAAAATAATTTGTGGGCACATTTACACTGGACATTTGGGTACAAACACCTGAATGAACAGGACTCAGCATGTATGGCAGAGTGCATAGGGTTCGGTGGGGGGATGGGGGAGGCATGGATGGGGAGGTGTCTAAATTTGAATAAGAATGTTTATACACAATTACAAAAGTTCAATAAAAATGT